AAATAAAATAAAATAAAATAAAATAAAATAAAATAAAATAAAATAAAATAAAATGAAATAGCTTTTTAAGAGTTAAAAATTAGCGGGCAACATATAAACCAGCGTGAATTTAACAGTGAAGAACTCTGATTTGCAGACAGATGGCAAGAATAAGCAAGAACATGAATCAGATGAATGCCAGTCCAAGCAGGCTGGGGAGGCTCAGGTCTCTGGGAATGCTGGTGCTTTCTTCACACAGAGACTAGATAATTAAATTCTTACAGAAGAATAAAAAAAGAAATCACAGGACAAGATCTAGTCTGTGCAGAACTTCTCTGCTTGAAATGTGACAAAGGAAACATCTAAGCAACTTTGACAAAGACTGAAAGTACTCTTAAGGCAGATGGTAATTACAGCTATGAGTAAATAGAAATTATGAACATATTTCCACTTATGACATATCCTCTGAGTGTTGTAGGAGAATGCTCCTTTTTTTCACATAGATGTGTTTCTGTAGTGATTCTTTCATTAACTAGCTCCCTAAAGAGCTGTTAAAACTACATGCTGTAGTGGTTTCCACAGTTAGGCTGCTTCTTCTGATCTCTGTTAATCAGCCAAGTCATGAAACTACTACTGAAACAATTCCTCTTTCTGATAGATTTGACACTATCACAACTTCAGAGCATGAATAAATGACTACTGGCACGACAGTCTCTGTGTGACTATTAAGAGTGTAGCTGGAGAAAGAATACAATCACTGCATTACACAACAGTATTAATTTTTAGAAATTAACTGGCCTGGCACAAATACAGACATCCAGGATAAAAACTAACTTTTTTTTTTTTACCTTTCCCCCACCCCGCCCCCAATTCTAGGTGAATGCATGACAACATAAACCAGAGAATCCTTTCCATGAATTTCCACAGAACAACACAGCTTCACACATTTCAGTCTGCTGTGTTTTATTCTTCTCACGAAGGAAACCAATGCGCCTAAGAAGGTTTATGTGTTATTTCAGGACAATATGATGAGTGCACTGATTGCTTATTTTGCTTAGCTCAGCTAATGCCTTTCTTCTGGCACTGTAAATCTGTAAAGTAGAAATATACATTAATGTCATGTAAGTGCACCATGTGTTAATAAGAAGAAGGTTGTCTTGCTAACCAGCTTCCCAGTTAGGAAAACATATGTTGTATTGGCTACCCACGTGATGCTACCTAGTATGCCTCAGGCAAGGCAGTAAAAAGGCCAACAGCTATCTGATTCTAATTCAAGACTTGAGAGAGCTGAAAATACACAGGATATGTTAGATACTATTACTATTTAAAAACAAGGTCTTACCAGTCACCAAACAGACACAAACTCTCATGTTTAGTGGTTAATGCTGATAACTGGAAGGTGGAGTACTTATCGGATGGATCTGAGGGCACCTGAGGGCAGATGCCAAATGCTGAGGAGAGGTCTCAAACACTGGGGTTAATTGTGAACAGAGGGTTGCAATACAGCAGATTGGAGAGAGCTTCCAACGACCAGCTTGTTTATTCCACTAAGGTTTTTTTGTTCTGTCCTGTATTTTTCACAAGCAATGCTTGTTATTCACAACAACACCCTCTCTTTGAAAAGCAATGTCATGAGGAGACAATCATAGGGGTAGAGTTTTGGGCATGGGAAATTGCCATCCTCTGTGAAGAATGGGGGTAGTGTAGGCCTCCCCATGGGGTCCCTGTGAACAGAGATCATCCGCTGCACATGCTGCAGAGGCCAGAGGCAGAGATAGGTGAGTAATGGTCCTCAGTTGCTACATCATGTTATCTGAGCATACTCCCATCAATTAAGTCAGGGTAAAATACTTTCTTACAACACCATGTGTGTGAAAAGTAGACTTCCTGCCACCCTGAATAGCTGCCATTGGATTGGGTTTTCCTGGAGCCACAGGGATCTACAAGTTCATTCTCAGACACATTTTGTCATCCAGAACCTCCAGACTCTTTGAGATGCTTTGCATTTGGACTCTAGCCTGCAGTCAAATAGAGGTGGGCAGCTCCTCTGGGATTAATTATAATACTGATCTCTACCTGCTTTCTAGCAAGTAAACAAGTGCAACATTCTTCGCTATGACTCACACAAATTTAAAAATGCACTGGGGTAATACTCGTAAAGTGGAAGGACATTTTTATCCCTTTATTTGATGGAGAGATATTTGATGAAGGCATACAAGTTGTCAGATCTCTGAATCCCCTTCTCAAATGAAAAGTCCAGTGTTGGCAATACAATGCACAACCTGCAATAATTCAGAGTGTGTATGCAAATGGCAAAACCATGAGACAATGCCTGATATGCCATCTATCAGCAGTAAGTCAGGAAGAGCTACAAGTTGAGAGTTGTACTCCTTTGCTAATACCAGATGGCAAAATCTCTAGCATTTGTGAGGCTGCTCCTTATTTGCATGAACATTGCAACAATCACATTTCCTCAAACACATGTCACCAAATGTATTTGTTTATGTTTGTTCAAGAAGAATACTGACAACTGCTATAATTGCCTTTATTGCAAATACTTCAGTTAATGGCAAATTATTCTTCTTCATAGTTTTCTTCCTTCTTTTTTAAAATTTGTAATTTAAAACAATTCCAAATTTCTATGTACTTTTTCAATTGTTTACACTGTTTCTTTTCCATAGCTAAGCCATGAAGAACAAGTTCATGAAAAATCTCAATATTTTTTCCTCATCAGGGTGTGCCTGTGTATGTGGGTAGTGTATCTGTATCTACATGCATTACATGCATGCTCACACACCAGTTTATTGACCAAGAGTTTTGGTAGTATGGTCCAAAATGGAGAAGCAGGTTTGCAAGACTTGCAAACTGAAGAACATGCAAGCATTAGTCTCTCAAAAGTCAGTCTTATTTATATTTGTTTCATACAGGTCAAATACAAAAGGATTAATTCAAATAGTTTCAAAATACTTTTTAAATGGTGCATTGTCATTTTTTAAATGTTGCATCTGTTTCAAATTAATGTTCAAAGTACATGAACTGTAGCATGAGTAACAAGTTAAATACTTGCAATAGTTGAATAAAGGTTGCATTGTAAAAATTACACTATCTGGAATTTAGCACACTGCTTTAAAAACACACTGATTTATCTCAGCCTTAAGATCTGCCAAGACACATACTAGACATGCTAATTATGACCAAATAACAGTGTCTCAGGTTCAAAGCACCTTCAACACACCATCACCATCACACAGTCACAGCAGCTCTCCTCTGCTTCTTCTATGATGCTTTGAATTATTTCACTCTCAAGTTACTCTATGGATCAGAATACCAGCGGATTGCCAGACTTCTCAGAATAGGTACACTGCTCAAATTTTAATCTGTTGTGATGACTTGTGGAAGATCATGTTGCTTGGTATCTGTTCTTCGGCCATGCAGTAGGTGAGCACAACTCCCCACAAGACCAGCCTGACGAGAAGAGTCCCAGAGCTCTGGTGCCTGACAGGAGGGTGGCTGCAGCACCAGCCTTCCCACAGTACTGACAGAAACACTCACAGCTTTCTTCACACTAATCCTGACATCAGAAGGAACTGCTTCCTTTAGTCCTTAATTAGAAATAGACAGAGATGGCTCAGGGGAGAGCCTGGGAGCAGAGCAATAACCTTACCTGAAAAACCTGGGACTGTATTTAATCTCCTTCAAAGTCCAAAGAATTATGTAGTCTCAAGCTAGGCTGATAGCAATCATATAAAAAGCCTAAAGTTTTAAGTGTTGAAGAGTCTCCTTTTCCTTCTTCTTCTATTTTATTTGTTTGTTTGTTTGTTTGTTTTGAAAGCACGCTGCTTCTGACTCAATTTACCTCCCTCAGATGTCGCTACTAGGAACAACCTAGATCTGATCTCCACTATGAACTGGGTGGAGACAATGCACCAACATACCAACATATCCTCCTGTCCTTCAGTTTTAGGGAATGCTCAAGTTTTGTGTTCAGAGAAAGATGTCCTTTTCCACAAACTAAAGCAGTGCACCTTCACTGATGAATTACATGCTTTAGCAGATGGAGTACTCTGTCCAACTCTGGGGCCTCCAACACAAGAAGGACAAGGAGCTCTTGGAGTGAGTCCAGAGCAGGGCCACGAAGATGACCAGAGGGCTGGAGCACCTCTCCTGTGAAGACAGGCTGAGAGAGTTAGGGCTGTTCAGCCTGGAGAAGAGAAGGTTCCAGGGAGACCTTACAGCAGCCTTTCAGTTCCTGAAGAGGGTACAGGAAAGCTGGGGAGGGGCTTACAAGGTTTTACAAGGACTTGTAGTGATAGGACAAGGGGAAGGAGTTTTAAGCTCAAACAGGGTAGATATTTATTAGATATTAGGAAGAAATGTTTTACTGTGAGGGTGGTAAGATACTAGAATAGGCTGCTCAGAGAAGTTGTGGCTGTCCCCTCTGAGTGGGCCCCGGTTGGATGGAGGTTCGAGCAACCTAGTCTAGTGGGAGGTGTCCCTGCCATGGCAGGTGAGTTTTAACAGCTGGCATCTTTGAGGCTGTAAAAGAAATGGGCACATAAATTGAGGGCGAGTTCACTGGTGCTCCCTAGCCTAGCATCAGTTTGTTTTCTGGCAAAGGAAAGTGAAAGTGAGCCAAGCTGCCTTACCAGCACCACAGAGGAAGGTGTTAGCACATGTATACACACGCACACATGGTGACAATTACTGAATTTGTTATAGCTTGCAGTAATCTGCAGTCACACCTTTGCCTTTCCAGACCTTCCAATATAAT